GTTGAATGTTTGTCTGTGATTTGTGCATATCGAGATCCTCGTGGGTTCCAACAGCACCAACGGTCTCTTAACAGATTGACACTGGATATCTGTTAGCATATATACACAGGTCGTCGTCTAGGTTTGCACCTGCTAACATTTTGATGTGCCAAATTGAAGATATGAATCAGGTTACTGTGGAATACTCCAACCGTCCGAGTGAAGTTGATGACCTGTAAAACAAAGGTCGGGAAGAGTTTATGGTCTGAGCACTCCGATGCTCAAGTCAGTCTTTTCGGTTCTGAAATCAAAATTATCATTTTAGTCATACATCACCCCCTTAATTGGATGACAAGAATCTTATCAATTGCTGACTAAAAACCTTATCTCTTACTGCCCAAGAAACCTTGTTGCCTAATAATTGTTGTTGCCCAATAATTTTTTTTATGCTTGAGATGTGTCCATACATGACCATGTTCGTACAAGGTCCATTTCCTCATTGAGGTCTTTTCTCACGTAGGTCCATATATCTTCTAGATTGCCATTAGGCCTGGGACCGGTCCGGTTCTTAACATATTTTTCAAGAATCGGAACCGAAATCGAAATAAAAAACCGGTTCTGTTAACACCTAAATATCCACAGGAACCGAAAAAAGAACCGAACCGAGTTATAACGGTTCGATTTTTTCAGTTCTTCGAGTAACCTAATTATGAAAAATAACCGACAATAACCGGTTTTGACTTAAGAACCGGTCAACTCGATTTGTCTACAAAATAAGTGAGAAAATAATATACTAACATGATAAACAATCAATGTTAGTTTGCAATATTTATGATTAAGCTATTATAGAAAATGCAAGTTATAATAAATAATATAATTTTCTAGTTTTAACATCACATGTCATGACTACTTTTATATTTATGATAAGCTTAGAATGTATATGTGTGTGTGTGTGTGAGAGAGAGAGAGAGAGAGAGAGAGAGAGAGAGAGAGAGAGTTTATTTAATTATATGTGTTTACGGGTTGGATATTTAGAGCATGCTTGGATACAAATTCAACCCAAAAAATCCAATCATTTTTAACTTAACAAACTTTTTTAACTCAACCTCACTATCATCAATATTATCAATATAATTAAATAGTATCAGTCAATAATTCTTACACATAACACCAACCTTAATTAACTATTTATATACTCACATAATTTTAACTAACCACCAAATCACATCTTTTCTCTCATACTTTTACATCAATTTAATTTTAATCATTTTATTTTAAGTATTATTTTAATATACTCACTAACAATTAATCATACCAACTTTTCAAATTTAACCAACCCAAACTAAAAATCTAATCAAAACAAAAACTTATATCCAATATTAGGCTAAATTGCAAAAACTAGCCACTAACTTAGACGGGTTGGCAATTTTACCCACCTTCTTTTCATTTTGGCACTTTTAGCCAAAACGTTTTAGAAATTCGGTCTTTCTACCCAAATCCGGCCAAAGTCGTCGGAACTCTGCCTGAGAACACCGAAATTGCCAGCGTGGAACTACACGTGGACACTTAATCCACATCAGCTCGCTCCTCTATAAATACCCCTTCCACACTTAATCCACATCAGCTCACACTTCACACAGAAAAATTTGGGGAAAAATTACGAGCCAATTCGAAACCCTAAAATCGCGCAGAAAACCCTAATGCTCGCGAAATCTACTCGTGCGGCATACGATTGAAGAAATTCGACTTAAGAGTGAAGCTCTAACAAGATGTCTGACATCAACACAGATTATCCAAATTGCAATTGTGGGCAGAGAGCTGAAATTTGAACTTCGTGGAAAACTCCCAATTGTGGAAGAAGATTTTTTTCGTGCCTCCATTGGAATGTAAGTCGCACAGCTTTGTAATTTGATGTTTTTAGCTGAATAGATGCTTTGCAATTTAATTTAGTTTTTTTTTTGCTCGAATTAAGGAAGGAGGATGCAATTTTTTTGGATGGTCGATCCTCCTCTATGTGCCCGTGCTCAACGAATAATTCCTGGGTTGCTCAAGAAATTGAATGAAATGGAAGAATCGACTAAAAGGGCTGACATTGAAAAGATAGAGCTTCTCTCTGTCCTTGAAGAAGAAAACAAGAAAATGAAGAAAAAGAAATTTGAGTTTGAAGAAGAAAACAAGATTTTGAAGGCAGAAATTCTGAAATTGAAAAATGAGATTACCAAAAAAACAAGACTTTTGAGGATAATAGTAGGATTATTGATAATATTAATTTTCATCTTTTTCTGTGGCTCTCAGACAGTTGATGAATAATTGATATTAGGTTTATGTATTTGTAATGTTATTGATATTGTAGTATTTGGATGTTATTGATATTAAGTTGATGAATATTTGTAATGTTATTAACATTGTGGCTCTGAGACAATGTTGTAATGGCATCAACATTTTGAAAGCTATTAATATTAGTAGTATTTACATGTTAGTTTGATTACCATTGTCATTATCTGTTAGTTTGTTTCTGAAATACATGTAGCACAAAAAAATGTTAACAAAACTTCACATAAGAAACAAACACTGCACAAACTCATTACAACTTATATAAAAACCATAACAAATTCATTACCAAATCCAACACATATTTCCACAAGTCCTGCACAAAATCCTGCAAACTATATCACTAAATCCATATCAAAAAACCTTACCAAAGCCATATCAAAAACCATAGCAAATTCATTACAAAATCCAACACAAAAATAACTACCATTTCAGAAGTTCAGACTTCAAAAGATCCCTTAAGAAGTTCAGAGTTCAACAAAACTATTACAAAATATCTAACAACCCATTATCAACCTTCTTCAGCAGACCCAAAATCATTTCATTGCCATGGCCATTTTGGTTAAGTACCAGGAACTTTTTCCCCTTATCAACTACAACCTTGTTATGAGTTGTGGTAATACTGCTTCCCACAGAAAAAACAGGCCTCTCTCCAGTAAATGTAGGAGGCCCTCTGATTTGAACTCCATGTGTGGCTCTTGTAGGCTGCAGAATGTTTCCTCTGAGTAGCTGATCATACATGGATGGTCCAGGAGTTGATCTTTGCATTGTGTCCATCAAAGGTGTCTGGGACTGTTGTGTAGGAACTTCTTCCATCACAATACTTGCATCTTCTGTTGGATTTGACAGTGGTGGAAACAAAGTTGGGTTCACAGTACTTGCTAGGTTTCTAAGGGATGGACCACTGTTCCTTTTTACCTAAAATTAAAACACACATCACAATAACTTAGTAATTGCACCCATAAAGAAGTAGCAGTAGCAGTACATATAAATTAAAACACACATCACAATAATTACCTGCAATTTTTGTACCACTGGAGGTTGGTTTATGGTTACTGGAGGAGGTTGGTTAGTGGTAGTTGAACATGTGGCTACATTATGGCCTTCACCACCACATCTGCTGCATTTCACCTTACTTTGTTGCCTCTTCACATTTGTAGAAGATGAAGTTCCTTTTTTCTTCTTATTTTTCCCAACCATCTCATCACTCTCCCTTCTCCTAGCCTTAGAAGGTCTCCCTGCACCCCTTCCAAAGTTTGGTGGCAGTGGTGGTATGAAATTGTTCTCCTCCCAAAGTTCAGTGCCATTAATTGGATACAAGGTGTTCCCATAAGTAGCCATATACTTAGACATTGTGTAGCATTCATCTACATAGTCCTCAGCATTACCTCTTTGAAAATAGATGGCACTCAAAGCATGGCTGCATGGAATTCCAGACAATCCCCAAGACCTACATGAACAAATTTTATCCTTCAAGTTGACAGAGTATTGTGCTCCATTGTTACACTTTATCTCAAAGTGTATGTCATCAGCCTTAACTGGAATGCAATCAGCCACTGCCTTACTGTGTAGCTCCAGAAGCTCTATTATTCTTGGACACAATCTATTCTTCCACTTTCTTGCAGCCCTATCTCTGTTCTCTTGCATTCTCTTCATTAGGTATTCTCTATTCCACTCTAGCATTGTGATTATAGGTTCTTCTCTGGCCTCCAGAATACAAGAGTTAAAGGTTTCACAACAATTATTCAAAAGCATATCACATTTGGGATCATCCTTAAAATGTGATTTGGACCACTGATCTGGTGGTTTTTTAGAGAGCCATTCCCAAGCATCTGGGCTCATCTCCTTAAGCTCTGCCATTCTACTTGTGAATCAAGACTTAGTTGTGGACATTGCAGCAGCCCATAAGGCATTTGTGAATGCCAAACCCCTATAACCTGCTGTTTTGAAGTTATTGCAAAGATGTCTCACACAAAATCTGTGATCAGCTTGAGGGAATATTTCAGCTGCAGCTTGAATGATCCCCTTCTGTTTGTCAGACATTAGGGTGAAGCCACTGGTGTCCTTCAATGTTAAGTCATTCTTCATAATTGTCAAGAACCATGACCATGTCTCTGTGCACTCACTACTCACTACAGCATATGCAAAAGGGAACCACTTATTATTAGGATCAACACCCACAACAACCAACAAAATACCCCTATGTGGGCCCTTCAAATGACATCCACCAATCCCCATTATTGGTCTGCACCCATCTCTATACCCTTTCTTCATTGCAGCAAAACAAATGTACAACCTGTTGAACCTGGAATTTCCATCTTCATCAGCCTCAGTACCTAAAATGATAGTAGACTCAGGGTTTGATCTTCTAAGTTCCTCAGAATATTCCCACAACTTAGAATATTGCCCTTCTGCAGAGCCTTGCAGAATTTTCAGTGCTCTTCTCTTAGTTCTATATGCTTGATCCCTAGAAATGTGACACCTTAGTTCTTCAATAGTGCTTGTCCTGAAACCTTTTACACTTCTCTTGGGGTCTGCCTTAAATTCCTTCAAGTATCTGTCACACAACCAAGAGGACTTCACATTTTTCACCTGCAAGGGAGATGGACAAAAATAAGTACCATATATAAGTGTTAAGAAAAAGTTAACTACCATGACCATTTAAGTGTTGTGAAAAAAATTAAGTAGCAGATTTAAGTGTTAACAGAAAAGTTCAAACAACCATATTTGTTTTATAATCATTTAAGTGAGTGTTAAGAGGAGTTCACAGAGGTTACCTGGAAAGTAGATGGACAAGAATGTTCAGAAATGAATTCCTTGATGAACCAAGTTTCTTCATTTTTTTTCTTGATTAGATGCACCTTCCATTGACAGTCTGTTGCAACACATGTAACATACAACCTTGTAGAATCACTTCTACATATCTTCACACCTCTGTGACTCTTAATGGCATAACTTTGGACAGCTTTCTTAAATTCCTTTTTGCTACTGAATAGCATCCCAAGCTCAAACACAAGATTGAAGATAGTGGCAGGATTAAATACAGGCATCTGTTCTCCCTCCTCAATATTGGCAATATGATCATCTAGGTCATCCCCATTATGGACCACATCTGCTTCACTGTTACCACTTTCTTCTTCTGAACCCTGAATTGAACTTTCCACATTATGATCAACAAAATTCTGATATAGATGGTCATCATCATCATCATCATCATCATCATCATCATCATCATCATCATCAATGTGATCATCTTCCATATTGTACTCAGAATCCATGGAGTCCTCATCAAAGTTATTTTCAACTGTGGCTTCATTATAATGATCACAATTTTCTGCAACATCATTTGCAGTTGACAGATGAGGTGATGACACCCCAGAAAAATCTTCAATAAGCTTGAGCAATTCCTCATCATTGTCCACTTCCATTAAACGAGATGCTTCTGACAACTGATTTATTGTGTCCACACTGTGATCAATGTTATCCTCAAACTGCTCATCATCATCATCACTTTCCTCAGTTTCCATATTGTATTCAGAGTCAAGAGAGTCTTCACCATAGCTCTTTTGGACAGAGGTTTCATCACACTCTTTTTGAACAGAGGTTTGATCACACTCTTTTTGAACAGAGGTTTGATCACACTCTTTCTGAACAGATGTTTCTCCACCATCCTTTTCAACAAATGCTTCTGAAAGCTTATCTGTTGTGTCCACACTAAGATCAACATTTACCTCAAACATGTCATCATCATCACTTTGCTCAGTTTCCCCAATGTAATCAGAATCAGGAGAGTCTTCATCAGAGTTCTTTTGAACAGAGGCTTCATTACAGTCTTTTTGAACAGATTCTTCTCCATCAGCCTTTCAGCAAATGCTTCTGACAGTTTATCAGTTGTGTCCACACTAAGATCTACATTGTTCTCAAACAGATGATCATCATCACTACTTTGCTCAGGTTCCACATTGTAATCAGAATCAAGAGAGTCTTCATCATCACTTGCTATCACATCCACATAAATCTCTATCTCCTTAAGAGGTAGATGAGTAATAAACTAAGTCCTAGCATCTTCATCAGAGAAAATTCTCTGAAAGCTGCCACACAACACATAATATTTCCTCCTTTTTCCTTTTCCAACAGCCTCATCAGTTAAACTATTCAGGGTTTCTATGTTCATTCCTTTACTATTCACATAGTCAAAGATAATGGAATCACCACCCTTATAGTAAGCATTAGGTTCATTGACAAATTGACCTCCATAGTACACAACCACACTGATTTGACCACTTTCACGAGCTGTGATTAAAAAAAAAAAAAAATAATTTTTTATCAGAACATATAACAACTTTTCATATGAATAAAAAACGATTGTCAATGTCCCCACATGTCTGTATAAACCCAAACATAAAACCACACAAAAGGACCACCACTTTAATTCTAACATTTTAAAAAAACTATCTTCATAAAAAACAAATATATACAGAACTTCAAATCTTACTGCTTCGCACGGAAAATTAAGAAATCTTACTGTACGGAGGCGGACAAGAGTTTGGCTTCCTACTGCTTCGCACGTATATTGAGGATGTCATCAAATCGTCGTCTTAATCTCTAGGTTTCTTCTCCGATTTGCAGCTTCGCGAGCATTAGGCTTTTGTTGCGCTATTTTAGGGTTTATGTTCTGCCCGATTTTTTTCCCAAATTTCTGTGTGAAGTGTGAGCTGATGTGGATTAAGTGTGGAAGGGGTATTTATAGAGGAGCGAGCTGATGTGGATTAAGTGTCCACGTGTAGTTCCACGCTGGCAATTTCGGTGTTCTCAGGCGGAGTTCCGACGACTTTGGCCGGATTTGGGTAGAAAGACCGAATTTTTAAAACGTTTTGGCTAAAAGTGCCAAAATGAAAATAAGGTGGGTAAAATTGCCAACCCGTCTAAGTTAGTGGCTAGTTTTTGCAATTTAGCCTCCAATATTATGTACAATATTATATACTTATAACATTACTCAACTTTTTATAGGATTACTCAACTTTTTATATTCAAACATGCTCTTAGTTTTCCTGCTATAGCCAAACCACGACCAGATACGAGGTTGTAGTAGTCCAATTCGACGTGAAATCCGTCATCACGGGTTTTTCCCGACCTGAAAATGCTTGTAACTAAATTATACGGATTTTTTATTGAAATGTCTGGCAATAAGCCTGTCGTGAGTCGGGAACTAACGAATAGACATTCATGTATATTCAATTAATATGCATATTTTTAAATTGAAATATCATACTTTAAATAACAACATAAATATAAGTATGACATTTATCAATTTGCTTTTTATCAATTTGCTTTCTAATCGCTTTTCATCACATTAGTGGTCGGGTGATCCCTTGAGCATAGAAAAGCACAGGGCTGACGCAAATTGCAACAAAGAAAATAATTATCATTCCAAAATTGATAAAGGTATTTCTTCAATGCACTTGATCAAAGTCTAAAAAAGAAAATAATTATCATTCCACGCAAAGAAGTGTAGCCAACTTTATTGTGGCGTTTTTGAATGATATTCATTAGATAATTGTTGGTTACTTATTAGTCACGCCAAATCTTAATAGAGATAATTTACTATTATGCATGTAATGCAATTTATTTCGACAATAATCCATTCAAAATATTATTTTATTATAAGTAGCGTATTAAGAATCGGCCTAGGCGCTAGGCGACGGTCGACCGCCTCCGATATGTATGAACAGGCTGAAAAAATCGACCAGGCGGCTTGGCGGTGCTAGGCATCGGCAATATTCCAATTATTTTTATACGAATTACATTATTTTGTTGTCATGCTTTCTAACAATAATATATTATTATTTGATGCACTGAAATGTGTGAATTTATTACAAATTGATATAGTTTTATTTTGTAGTTACTGAAAATAAGCAAAGCACTGGTCGTGTACCAAACTGACTTCAAGAACACTAACTATAAGACAATTTAACATAAATTTAAGTATCATGCAACATTGTCCAATCCTATAGGGGGCGATTGGAAATCGGTCAATTGACTCAGCCGGATAATTTTTTTTAACTCAAAATCCAACTCAATGTTAATCTAACCTAACTCTCATATTTTTTTATCAATATAGTTAAATAATATCAATCGATCATATTTACGGATCATATCAACAAAATTTGCTATGATCATATCAACAAAATTTGCTATTTATACACCTATATATTTTAACTACACATGTTGTATTTTAAATATTATATAAATATAAACTCAACTACTCAATCAACTTTATTTAAAATTAGCTCACTTTACTCAATAAAACAAATCAAATCCAAAATAATCTATTTCCAGTCATCTCTTAGGGCACCCACATCCCTTAACATTCATTCAATCACATTTTACACCCTCTCTCGTCCACATCATCTCCACATCATCTTTCCACTAAATATTTCTCCATTTAAACACACACCCACATTCAATCATTCGTTTAAACATAAATATATGGAACACATTACCCACTCATTCAATACCATTTTTATATTTTATTCTTAATAAACATAAACATATTTTTTTAATTAGAATATTTAATTTTAAATTTTAAAATACAATAAATATTATTAGATTTAAAAAAAACATAAATTAAGATTACAAAACAAAAAACTAATTGAAAAACTAAAAATAATAATTAATTGAAAACAAAACAAAACAAAAATAAACAAATTAATTGAAATCTGTTTAAAAAAATAAAAATAAAAAAAGACATCAAAAGAAGAACCTCGTTCAAAAATATAATAAAATATGATTTTAAAATAAAAATAAATAAATAAAAAGTCAGCGTTCAAACAATTGAACGAAGGAGTGGGCGTCCCCTTTGAATGGATGAACCGCATCCGTATTAACGTTGGGGGCGTTTAGACGGCCAAAGAAGAAACACCGATGCGGATGCTCTTAGCATTCATCGATTTCACTTCAAAATTAATTAAATTAAATCATTTGATCAAATCCATAAACTACTACAATATCCGTATATTACACGAGTGCTTATTTAATTTATATTAAAATGTAAAAAAAAAAATCAAACACTTTTTTAAAAATAATAATATTATTTATATTTAAAATGACACTCGTGACTCGTCACTTATAAGACTTGTTGTCATCTTATATTGTAATAATTTTTAACTTGTAGTTAAATTAATTAAAATAATTTTATTTTTTTCCAAGTAATATAATAGGTAATTTAATTTTTAATATAAAAATAAATATACTTATTTATTTAACTTGTAGTGAAAATTTCTTTACATATCTGAAATAGCGTGAAAATCTGGGTTGAAGCACTGTTTATAGATTCGAAATAATGAGAGCTAGAACCAAAAATCGATACAACTCCGGCGCAAAACTCTACTCCAACACGCAAAACTCTACTCCAACGCAGGATTGGAGTCGATCTTAGAACATCTAATAGAAGTGTTTCATCTGGTTTTCTTGTTTAAATCCCGTACTAGGCAAGTGTACTCTTGTTTAAAACGATACTCTACTTTTCGTCTCATTTTGAACCACTAATCACATTCACAGGAACAATAAATCAAGTGTAGATTATTTTCCTTTGAAGTTCTCCTTACCCGAGTTATTAAGGAGTATTCAGCCTTTCCAAACTTGCACCAATCTATGACCAAATACACTGAAGTTTCACAAAAGTAGCTCACATAAACTGACAGCAAAATTTTCCATACAAAAAGAACTCAATGTAATCCATCTCTCCCGGTCACAAAAACACTACATTGGAATGAAATAATACAAAATGGGCTCTTCTAGCTTAGGTA